CGCCAAGACAGTCGCCCTAGCTACCTTTGTCACTGTCTTATCTTTGTCCTGTTGAGACTCCTTACCAATCATACATGCCTGCAGCTGTGCCTGCAGCCTCTCAATCTCCCCTTTAAGGTTTAAGTTTTCCTGCTTCAGAACTCCAGGCGATACCCATTCACTCTCTCTATTAACACCTCTATCCGTGTTCATTCCACGACCTCTCCAACCCCGGCCACGGCCACCGGGAGAGTATCCAGGACCCTCTGTTTTCCACTATCCTAACTGAGTTCGCAGCTCATTGACAGGAGTTCCTTCTTGCTGTTTAACTGCAGTCTCCACTTTTGCAATCCATTTATCCCAAGGTACCTCTTTGCCTCCATTCTCGCACCAAGCATTCATCCATTCTAACACACCAGAAGGCAGTGCCTCCAGAACAAGTTGCTTCAAATCCTCCAGGTTAGTAAAGCCCGCTGTTAATCAAGTATATGTTTGAATTCTGTCAGCCAGCTTGGCCGGAGCATCCCCTGACATTCTTGCAATTCCTTTAAGGGCAGCTAACTCACTGGATAACTTAAAATGCTTCTGAGTCACACGTTTAAGCATTTGCGCCACATCATCATCAAAACCAAGGGTATGACAGTTCAGAGGTCCCAAAAGTGTTTGTACCAAAACTGGTTCCTGTAACATGTCAATTCCTACTGCCTTTAATAACTGCAAGCCTTTATGAAGCCATGCCATAAACTCATTAAAATTTTCAGAAGGGGGGGGTCCGACAGCTCCAGCTAGCGCAGTTACTTCATTAATCTTTAAAGCGTCGAGCCTGGCTGTAAAGCCGCTCACGCAAGGTGGGTGAGGGGTATATGTACTTTTGGATGCCTGATTCCTTTCCCTTTCTGCATAATTACTGCGGGGCCATGGCTCCCTTAAACAATCAGTTAATTTTTTCGTTGCAGTTTCCACTGCATCCCATAACTTCAATGCAAGGGGGCCATCCGTGTGTGGGGTAGCATCAAGGGTAAAGTGGGGTATACCTGGAGTGTTAGGGGCAGGGTCTCCGATAGAGCTTTCTCTCCCATTTCCCCCATTCCTCCTGTTTTAACTGGAATTGATCTAGGTTTTGGGGAGGGTTTACCCAGAACCTGGTTTGCATCATAAGGTAGCGGTTGCGGTGCTGTAGCCCCTGCCCATGGGTCAAGAGAGGATGGTTCAACTGGGTCATTCCACATGTCTCCATTGCAGCATCCATTCCAATTGTCCCATGTTTCCATTTCTGTCCCCACACTTCAGGCACTGTAACAGCACTCGAAGTCCGTTGAACACCCGGGGACGGTAACTTTTGCTTCTGCAAGTTTTCCACAGCTGTCTCCAATTTTTTATTTTCCTGCTTTATTTGCTCCAGCATATCGTGAGTCTGGACTGTCTGTTGCCCTGCTAAAAGAGCTTGGGCTTTCCAGTGCTCTACTGCCCGGGTTGCCTCTTCTACTTTCCCTGTTTTTTCCATTACCTGTCCGGCCAGTATGGTGGCGTGCTGTTTAAACCATCTCACTGCCATAGACATTAGTTGCAGAATTCTTGCTTTTTTACTTGTATTATGATTTTTTAGAGCCTCGGTTTCTACCATCGCTCTACATATGCCAGTCCATGTTTCCCCACTTTTTAAAAATTCATATGGACCCCCTTTATTGGCAATCCAGC